CTGCAAATCAATTTATAACTTTTTTGAAATGCATTTTTCTGGATTTTTTTGTTGTTATTCTCTCACTGTTAAAATAAACCTACAATTATAGACTGATCATTTCTTTGTCAATGGGCAAACATACAAAATCAGTAGGGGATCAAATAATTTTTTCCCTCACTGTATAGAGTTCTCTAGAGGGTGATTAACGGATCTGGTTGAATTATATATATGAATATGAATACGAATGTATGTATGTATGTATATGTGTGTATATATACAGTATATATAAGAAATATTTAAGAGAAAAACAATACAGATTTTGAAAAAAGGGTAAAGAAAAGTAATAAGTGAAAAAAGGTGCAAAGAAAGAAAGAGAAAAGAAAAAGAAAGAAAAGAAAAAGTTATAAAGAAGCAGCTTCCGATCTTCTTAACAGCAGTTACAGATACATTTATATTTTACCCTCTTTCTTTAGATTACACTATAATTTTCTTGTTTCTATAATCTACTCTAATCATCAAATCCAAAAATCACAAGTTCATTCTTTTTTCTTTTTTTCAGCAAAAAGTCCATAAGGAGTTTCCAGTAGCTAATAAATGGATTATTATCCTTTCTATAATAGACAAGTCTGTTTTGTCATCTCTGCTAATTCTATCATCTTTACCAGCCATTCCTCCTTGTGGGTATTTCAGAGTCTTTCCATTTTTGTGCATGTAATAGTCTTACAGCAGTTATCATATACAAAAACCATCTTCCATAACTCTTTTCTAATTGTCTATCCATTAGTCCCAGCAAGAAAAGTTCTGGTTTCAACTGAATATTAATCTTTACAATTCTTTGTATCACTGTGTATTTGAACCTAAAATTTTCTGGGTTTTTTTATAAATTCACCAGGCATGATAAAATGACCCTTCATATTTTCCACACTTCCAACACAGATTTGAAGTACCTTTATACTGTACATTCAGATAATTTATCTGGAGTCATGTACCAATGGTACATCATTTTATAAAAATTATCTTTTTAAGTTATAACATAATGTAAATTTCAGTCCTTTCAGCCACATATTTTCCCTTTGTTCCATAAGTATATTATGTCCAAAGTTCTTAGCCCATTTTATCATAGACTTTCACTTGTTCTTCCATTTCAAATTTCAACAAAAATGTATATATTTTAGTAATTATATATTCATCATTTGTACATAGTTCCTTGTGC